GTGTGTTTGCCCTTGCGATGCGTGATTGTTGATGACGTTGAGTAAGTGATATTGCTTTGAGAGGTCTTTGAGCTCGAAAAATGGCTGAACGTTGCCTGTTTCCTACAAATTGTCCGCATATCCTCACTCCAGTAAAACGGCATAACTCTGCTGCAACTTAGGGAGCAGCCATAAAACTGTAACGTCTCGACGTTGTAACAGTTAAACGATCATTGCTAATTGTCGTTTTTCGTGGACCTTTTAAGCACTGGCGATTGATTACGTGTTCAGTCGTTCGGAATCCGTTCGATAGTCGACATTTGGTGGACTGATGCAAGCAAAAGTGTTCAGCGACATCTTTTTATGAACAACCAATTATTAGCATCCCTATAGTCCTTTAACGTTCATTTTCGGAAAGTCCTGGTGTTTTTGCCATTAGACGTTTTTGCAGTTTTACACCGGTTTTCTTTTAACAAGCATGTTCAAAATGTTTTTCTAGTAAAAATTTTTCCCGGGCCATGTGCGTTCGAGCGTAACCTTTTGTTTCATTGAATTGTCACAACGTTGGATAAAGCGGTTTCTGCGTGTCCAATTAAAAAAATAAATCTGTCTTTTGTTATCTTTATCTCTATTGTTTTAAAGAAGAAGCATAACAAAACAATTAAGAAAAATATTTTTAAACCATACATACGGAAAAGCAATTGCTAAACTTATTTTGGTCAGTATATATACACAATAATTGATTTTTTTTTGTTGAAACATTTCTACATGGAAAAATGCTATTGATTTTTAGAAAAAGAAAAAAATTGCATCCAATTCTTCACAGTATACATGTATATTTCATTTGAAATCACTACAAAACACATACTGGACCGATAGTAATAAATTGGCATTTTGTCTTACATGTCACATACTAGGTATTTTTATAATTAACCCTGTCATCTCTGGAATGTATTCAATTTTATTAGAGATGGCAATTCTTAACCGGTTAATCGATTAATCGGTCGGAACGATGCTAATCGGTTAGGAAATACGTAATCGGTTAAATATATGTAAATTTAAACTTATTTTCTTGAAATTCACTTTTTTAAAAGGAAATCACTTCTTAAAGTTCAAAGGGCGTTTTTACATATCTTGTAATTAAATAATTTGGAGGTAATTATAGCTCTCCTGATTGAGGTCACAGGGTAATTGGTCAGTTTGTAAAGTGTTATTTGCTGTTTTTAAAACATCATTTTGTTAACCCGACTGCCCTGCATCTGATTTTTTAATGATGAAGAAAAAATCACAATTTAGCACTTTAAGTTAATATGTCTATATTTTGCCGTTATCTATTAAGTTATGTTATATTAGAAAAAAAAAACAGATAAATAAATAAAGTGAGAGTTCAGACATAGTTTTGATTATGGTCACAATGCAGAATAAACTTCTTTTTCGTCTGCGTTTGAAAAATCTGTGTCTGATTCTCAGGCAAGATTCATGGTTTTCTTCATTTTTTCTTGTAAAATGAAATTAAAATAAAATATACCCACATGCACATAAAATATACAGATCAAAATAATTTATCAGAATGAAAATTAAATATTGTCTGTAACTTCTTTTATAGCTTTCTTGTGTATATGAAGAAACGTCAAAATATTAATCTTGATACGACTAACCGGTTAGTCGGTCGGAACGTCTAACGGTTAACCGATTAGCAATTCTGTAATCGATTGCCTTCCCTTAATTTTACTGAATATGAAACTATAAGGGGTGAGATACTTTAAATTTTTATTACCTTGAGTCTTATTTTGCACAATCAGTTGTCTGGTAGCTACTGCAGCACATCTTTCATAATCATTAGTAGTTTTATTTAAAGTCTGTAGAAGAACCAAAACGTCCTCAGCACACAATCTGATAAAGTATAGTGAAACCACCATTCAGATCAGAATAAATTTTGGCATATTAAGAGTCATACACATATCATATAAATATCATATGTAATGAAATGTTTTGTTGTATGTTTGTGACGTCACCATGTAAAAATAACTTCAATATGTAGATCACTTGTGACAAATACTATTTGACTCAGTCGTACATGTACTCAAGCAACGAACCTCTGGAAAGTTAAATTTATATACTGGAAATTCCTTTGCAGTAGTATGAAAAATATGGAGAGAACAAACTTTGTGCAAGATCAAAATCCACAAAACAATACAAAATAAGAGTGGTGCACACACGGACCTACAAAGCATCAGACCAGTTGTATTGGAGGAGTGAGCGTCCCCTGCTAACCGGTCCCCACCGCCGTTTGCTCCTTGTCATGATCGGGAAATAATGGAAAAATCCATCGTCAATTCAGTGTATAAATAATGGACTGATAATTAGTATGAAAAACGTCAGTCAGCATTTGATTCAATGATAAATAGTATTTGCTGACAAGTTCATGGTATCGACCATTAGATTAACTGATTGATTGTATGTTGTTTAACATCCCTCTCGAAACTTTTTTCACTCTATAGAGAGGTCACCATATGCGGGTGAAGAGCTACCAATTTAGACCTATACTCGGCACTCAGGGCCATTGAGAGTGAGGGCTCTTTATCGTGCCAACGCTACATTGACACTGGACCTACACTTTTTTTAAGGTCATATCCGAAAGACCCGTGACTTTCACTTCTAGTGCCGAGCGCTTGGCGAAGGAACAGGAACTACCTATGTTTACGACTTAGGTATGACGCGGCGCCGCGAACGAGAATCGAACCTGGGCCTTCCGATCACGAAGCGAACTCTCTACCAGTAGGCTACCGTGACCGGTATGTAGTGTGGAAAAGTTATGTTAGCTATATCAAACTATAGCTAATCATATAATTTTTCCAGTTATATTTGTAAATGTTAAACATTAAGCACGGAGGAATACAAATTTAGAAATAAATGTTTGGTTTTTTTTTAAAGAAAGAAAAGGAAAGATTTTTGAATCTTTTATTTTTATTTAGTCTTGAAGGTGTATTTTTTTTATTGGAAAAGAAGACGTTTATTCGTTTTAGAAAAAAAACTTCATGGTTCAGTAATTTGATACGCAGATTACTTACTTTACTGGAGTGGAATCAATGACCACAAGAGTAAAGCTGATGTGAACGAAGTATAACAAACAGCAGACGATGTGTACTGAAATGTAAAATTTTTTCTCATGTTAAATATATGAATTATTGATCTCGTTGATTTTTAGATACTTTGTTATTCTATTTATTTATGCACAATAATGTTTAAGGATTAACATTCTGTCCGCAAGGCTAATATTTTCAACATGTTGGAGAAAAAATTACCCAATCTTAATGTTTTCGCAGAAGTCATTTCTTATTTGTTGTCTTGTCTTTTCTTCTTCATTGACATCAACTGTTTGCCCTTCTAGATCTTAAAAAAAAGCAGAACATCATTAATTTTTAAAATTTACTTCATGGTTTATTGTGTAAATTGTTAGATTAAGAGGTATTTGGTATACGATGGACCCAGAGTGATGAACACATGTAAGCTGAACACGTTTATTCTAAGACATAACAGACTCGCACACAAAACAAATGAAATTATCTGATTGGCTAATAATGATACAGCATCAACTGGTTTTACTAATAAATGAAAGTCAGTAAAAGGTCAAACTAATAACAGGAATATAACATCCTCCTCATCTTACAAAAAAAAATGAAACTGTCATTGAGATGTAAACATAATAAAGCTTATACAAAACTGTTCATTTTTTAACATCAATCTGAAAATCCTTAAGATGCGAAGGTAGGTTAACTGTCCTGCCAGATCGCGTCTTCACTGCTGAATCAGCCTTCGGAGCTGATGTGGTAACACGAGCATCAGGTAAGTTTGGCATCGGTGCCAGAGGTACAGTGATACGTGGTTGCACAGGCTGTGGGCTGATCTTAACTGGTGACTTGGGTTTAGTCAGTGTTTTTGGAGTAGGTACTACAGACGGTGCAGGCACAGGTATGTTAGGTGAAAAGGTCATCACTGGAGGTTCATTGGTAGCCTTAAGGGGATGAAGGATGAATGGTCACGTGACTCAGTTGATTTACGTCATAATCTCTGATAAAATATGTACAAAACGAGATTGAAACCACAGTACTTGTATAATTTTTTTGACTGTTTGTTTGCGTTCACCATCTAGTATAAAAATATCTGAAAACATTCAAAATTTCTTGCAAATATTATCAAATTGCGGAATAGATTAATCCACTCTGCCGTTTCCCTACTCTGCGCGTCCAGTGCGTCTTTGACGTCATAGTGGATCTCTTAGTTCAGTAAGATCATACACGGTAAAAAACGGGTAGTATAAAATCATAAAAACGGGCCATAATATGTACATGGTAGGGTATTTTGTAAATTTCAGAACGCAAAAAATATTTTTACATGGTTGTTGACGGAAAAGTTCTGTGGGTTTGTCTTATTTCGCTTATTTCAGGAATGTGTGACGTCATAGTTGGGTTTTCCCGTACTCGAGAAATGTAAACATAACACGTTTTTCTCATGATCATGACTCGTTTAACTTTGCCCCGTGGAATATTGAGCTCAGCTTCACCAATCGATATTTTTACAGTTAATCAATACAATGACGACCTTGAACTTCGACGTAAATTTTCAAATATTGAATGATAGGATTTTTTGCAAATTATTTTTTTTGGTTTAAGTTGTCCTAAAAAAGTCGTAAATTTCCGTCTCCAGATGTGGTGTTACAAAAGAATCTTGCTTTTTCGAATTTTTAATCCTATTCATACTCTAAAATATTTTGAAAGACACATTTCCGCTGGTTTATTTTTTATCAATGGTGAAAAATTTCAATTATCGACCGAGTAATGGACCCAGAAACACGGAGAATAAAAACTCCGCTCAGACACTGTGGGGTATGGTATTTGTCACTCAATATCTCAGAAATAAGTCTAGCAACCTATTGATATGTCTGCTTTATAGTATGTAGGACATACTAAATAAGATATATACAAAATATGAAAAAAAATAAATGACAGGTATTTTTTCAGCTAAAGGTCCTTCATCCCCTTAAGGTGTACTCGATTGCGTCGGTATATGCGGTCTCCAGAACTGACTTCATAGGAGCGATCATCTAGACGACGGATGACTTGACCTTTAGCCCAAGGGGCTTTACGGTTGACGAATGGTTGAAGACGAACAACATCACCTTCCTCGAGAGGCTTGAGGGCCTTTGATTTTCTGTCGAAATAGCTTTTCTGTGTTTCCTGTCTCTGCAAGATCTTACGGTGAATATCATCAGTCTGTATGCCTTCTGGTCGGAGTAGGGTGGTTGTCATTGGTAAAAGCGTACGTGTACGGCGACCAAGACAACGCTGTACAGGGCTTGTGTTCTGTCCTTGGGTCGGTGTGTTCCTGAGATCAAGAAGTGCCAGATACACATCCCTTCCGGACGCCAGAGCTTTTTTGATGATAGTCTTTGCTGTTTTTACTGCAGCCTCAGCTTTTCCGTTGGCTTGAGAATTTCCCGGACTACTGGGCTGATGTCTGAAGTCATACTCTTCTGCAAAGTTCAGAAACTCGAGACATGAGAATTGGGGACCGTTGTCCGAGACGACAATCTCAGGTAGTCCGTATCGAGCAAAATGATACTTCATTCTCTGGATGACATTGATTGCAAGTGTTTGGCGCAGTTCATCAACCTCAAAGTATCCAGAGAAGTAGTCAACGAGAATGAGATAGTTGATGTTGTTGAGCGTGAAAAGGTCAACACCAACCTTAGACCATGGTCGGTCTGGAACATCATGGGGCGAGAGTGGCATCTTGGTATTTGCCACTTCCATGCTACAGCATGTCTCACACTGTGAAATGAATTCCTTTATGTCGTTACTCATGTTCGGCCAGTAGAGACATTCAGCTGCTCGTCGACGGGTGCCAGTGATACCTAGATGAGAGCTATGGAGTCTTTCTAGCATTCTTTTACGGAGAGTCTGAGGAACTACGATCCTGTCTCCACGTAAAATGATACCATCCGTAAACGAAAGTTCACTTCTGAAGGATGCATACCGTCCTACCACGGGAGGTAGTTCACTAAAGAGGTCAGGCCAACCTTCCACAATAGTCTTACGAAGACCCTGTAGTGTCTCATCTTTAGCAGTGTGGAGTTGTATCTCTTTGATACGCTCAGGAGAGACGGAGATATGTTGAATAACATTGATGTCAATTATATACATATGTCAAGTATGTCATCCTGTTTGCCCATTCCTGTGTCAGATGAGTACGCACATGACAATGTGTCTGATATGTGTATTTTCTTGCCCCTGTGGTACTTAACAGTTATGTCATACTTCTGGAGTCGAAGTTTCATTGCTTGTAGGCGTTTTTGAGCTTTCCAGAGAGAGCCTGGGATGATAGTCTCTAGCGGTTTGTGGTCAGACTGTACCACCACATGTCGAGCAAATGTGTAATGATGAAACTTCTCCAATGCAAAAACTATGGCCAGAAATTCCTTCTCGATCTGAGCATAGTTCGCCTCAGTTTCAGTGAGTGCTCGGCTAGCATATGCTATTGGCTTTCCTTCCTGTAGATTGATTGTATACTGTTTAACGTCCCTCTCCAGAATATTTCACTGATATGGAGACGTCACCATTGCCGGTGAAGGGCTGCAAATTTGGGCCTATGCTCGGCACTCATGGCCATTGAGCAGGGAGTGATCTTTTCCGTGCCACACCTGCTGTGACACGGGGCCTCGGTTTATACGGTCTCATCCGAAGGACCGCCCCATTTAGTCGCCTTTTACGACAAGCAAGGGGGTACTGAGGACCTATTCTAACCCGGATCCCCACGGGACCCTTCCTGTAGAAGGGCTGCTCCTAAGCCTCTTTGGGACGCATCACACTGTATGGTAAGTGGTTTCTTATCATCGTAGTATTGGAGATGATTTTCAGAGGATAGTATTTCTTTCACTTTGTTGAAAGCCTTACGTTGCGGTTCGTCCCATCTGAACTCAATGTGCTTACGTTTGAGCATGTTTATCGGTTCCATTATTGTAGCTAATGATGCAATGAAGTCTGATAGGAAGTTCACTGTTCCACATAGTCTGTGTACACCATGTAAGTCTGTTGGTGCTGGCATGTTGCGAATGGCAGCCACCTTATCGGGGTCTGGTAGCACTCCTTTGTCAGTTACAAGGTGGCCCATGAATCCAACCTGGGAGAGTCTCAGCCGCATTTTCTTCGGATTGAGTCGGATACCAACTGCTTGACATCGCTGGAGAAATGCTACTAGCTTTTCATCATGGTCTCTCATGGCCTCTTCCTTAGTCTCACCAACACCATAGAGTAGTACATCATCTGCGATGTTCAGAATCCCTCTCAAGTCACCTATAGCCTGGTATAGACGTCGCTGGAACATCTCTGAGGAGACACTGGTACCAAATGGGAGTCGTAACCAACGGTACCTTCCGAATGGTGTGTCAAATGTAGTCATGTGACTACTTTCGTCATCCAGCCTTACATGCCAGTAGCCATGACGGAGATCAAACGTTGAGAACACCTTTGCATGTGCCAGGTCTGGTAACATCTCACGGAGTACAGGGAGATGAAAATGTTCACGTTTTAGTGCTTTGTTGAGATGCTCTGGGTCTAAACATAGTCGGAGTTCACCGTTTCTCTTAGTGGTACATACAAGGTGACTGAGCCAATCTGTGGGCTTGTTAACAGGAGCTATGATGGCCTTCTTTGTCAAATCCTCTAGTGCTTCCTTTAGTTTTGGTTTCATGTGGACTGCAACTTTCCGGACTGGCGATATAACTGGTGAGACTGAGGGGTCAACCTCAAAATGTGCTACTCCAGGGAGTTGTCCTATTTTGTCCTCAAATACATCCTTGTACGCAACAGTCGGACAGACGGAGTACACAGAGTTCACTCGCTTGAATTTGTCCTGATTTATGGTAATGAGTCCCATTTGAGTACATGCATTGAGTCCGAGGAGTGGAGTTAAGTCCTCATTGACAACTACGAACTTGACTTTGTACTTGGTCCTGTTCTTGTGATTGACTAATTTCAGAATACACTCCCCGTGAGGTTCCACACGCGAGCCATTCCACATGACTAGAGTACTGGTCGATGGAGTAATAGTAGTGTCACCAATCCATTTCTTTCCAATAAGATTGTTAGAAGCACCGGTGTCTATCTGAAATGCTATTGGTTGATCGTTAACCATGAGTTCCGCACAGAGACGTCCAGATACACCTGCAATGTTAGTACTAACTTGTCTAATCAAGTACTCAGGCTCCGCATAATAGTCATTGCCCTCTTCTACACTGTGAACACGAGTATTAACACCTTGCTTACAGTACTTAGCAAAATGGTTTTTCCTTTACACTTCTTACAAGTCTTTTCGTATGCTGGACATGCTTCTTTTTTCCATGCATGTGCGCCACCACAATACTTGCAATGGTTTATTTGTCTCTGAGTCTGTCCTTTGTGTGGTCTCTGTTGTGGAGGGGGTCCTCTCTGGGGCCGCTGAGAATGTTTAGAGTCACGTGGAGTTTTTACACTATGAACAGAATCCTCCTTTGTGTCTGTTGATTTGCCTATTTCCGATGCTTGCTGCGTAGCTGACTCATCAGCCTTACAAATGTTTATGGCTTTTCCCAAGTTGAGTTGTGATTCCGCAAGGAGTTTGCGTCTTGTGTGTTCCTTGTTAACACCACACACTATTTTGTCACGGAGTAAAGAGTCCTCGAGTGCACCAAAATTACAGGACTTGGAGAGTACACGGATTGCCCCGAGAAAAGTATCAAAAGTTTCCCATTTTTTCTGGGAGCGAATGTTAAACTTGTACCTTTCATAAGTTTCATTTGTAGTCCCAATGAAGTGAGTTTCAAGCACTTTGAGAATACGGTCAGCATCTTTGCGGTGAGCTGGGTCCTCAAATGGAAGCGTTTCCAGTAGTTCTAGGACTTCTGCGGTCAAGTATGATTGGAGAATGGAAGCTCGGATTGTCGCATCCTGTTCCTTGACACGAGCGCCGACTTCGTACACTTTCCACCCGCGCTCAAAACGGCGGAAGTTTAGAGCTGCATCACCTTCTAGAGAGAGTTTTCCTGGACCCGGAACACTTTGATATATAGTTCAAAAATGAGCTGATACACTCAGTGACCTCATGTGTCGATCGAGTTGACAGTGTTCTGGTTCCCGAAATAATGAGAAAAAATGCACAAAATAGTCACAACTTACGGTTGACGGACCGTTTAGTTCAATATTCACAAGTTTACCGCTGCCACCATGTTAGATTAAGAGGTATTTGGTATACGATGGACCCAGAGTGATGAACACATGTAAGCTGAACACGTTTATTCTAAGACATAACAGACTCGCACACAAAACAAATGAAATTATCTGATTGGCTAATAATGATACAGCATCAACTGGTTTTACTAATAAATGAAAGTCAGTAAAAGATCAAACTAATAACAGGAATATAACATAAATAATATCCTCTCAGATTAGAAAAGGCAACGCATTATGTAAAGAAAACAAAAGTAATCAAGCTCAAAAGTCCACTTAAAACAAGATGTGTTTGTAAAACACTGATGGCCCCGTATGGCAACATAGCAAAGATAAAGCTTTTCTTAAATGCAAATTTAATTAATTGATACCAAAAGTAGGGTATTCTCACTGGAAAACAATTGTGAAATTTGAAAGTAAGCTAATATTCAAGTTTTTTAATAAGAACAAAAATCTCCAAGGTCATGGTCAAAAGGTCAATGTAATTAGTATCAAATGAAAGGTCTTGCCACATAAAATACTTATGTAGAGCATAAGTCATGGTCAACGTTCAATTTCTTAAAAAGTAGGTCAAACTCCAAAGTCAAGGTCAAAGGGTCAAAGCTGTTGTTATCAAATGAAAGGATTAGGATCAAATATGTAAAGTATGCAAGCACTATCCCTAACTCTTAAAAGTTATGGTAAATCTTTGCTTTTTTAAAGTAGGTCAATCTCAAAGGTCAAGGTCAAAGGGTCAAAGTTTTTGGTTCCAATGAAGGGTCTTCTCACAAGCATTACATATATGAAGCATAAAAGCCCTATCCTTTACCGTTCAAAAATTATGGCCAAGGTTAAAGTTTTTTCACAAGTACGAAAATCTACAAGGTCAAGGTCAAAGGTCAAGGATTTTGGTATCCAGTGAAAGGTCTTTTAAAAAACATTACATATGTGAAGTATAAATGTCCTGGTGTTCAATATCAAAAGATATGGCCAAAGTAAAATTTTTAAATTTTCATGTAAAAGTGGGTCAAACTCCAAGGTCAAGGTCAAAAGGTCAAACTTGGTACCCAAAAACAGGTCTTGTTACAAGAAATACACATATGAAATATGAAAGGCATAGCTCCACTAAATCAAAAGTTATGGGTAAGGTTAATTTTTTTGCGGACAAGCAGACAAACAGAGAGACAGAGAGACAGACAGACGGACAGACAGACAGACAGACGGACACGACAAAAACTATATTCCCCCGAAACTTCGCTTACGGGGGCATAAAAATAGAGCAAACAATGACCTAGTGATGATACATAATGTTTTTTTTTTTTTTTTTTTGTACATATTGTGGTCTGCGAAAAATGTACATGTACCTACCCTCACTGAACATATTATCGTTCATCAGTACACATTGTCGCCGGCTAATAAAGTTACAAATGTGCATATTGTCCCTCGCGATATTATATGCCTCACCCTCACTAGTACTTTACATATTGTCGCCTCTGAGATATTGTTGTTTATAGATAGTAGTAGTTTTGGGAATAAAATTGGTATGTGAGAGGCGGGATCAGGTACTCTGGAAGAGTAAACATCGTCTTTCCACAGGACACACTCGATGTTTGCACCTTAATTGGCATGATCGGGATCTAGAAAACTGACAAATTTGTAGAAAAATCGGTGTAAAAATTATGATTTTACAGTTTGAATGACTGTTAGAACAGAAAAATCCACAGGCATTTCGATATGAAATTAATGATCTTACAATTTTCTAGAAAAACTTCAGGCAAGATTTGCCTTTATAATAGATTTTATTTGCTAATGCGGTCAATGTATTGACAATCGGATCTGCAAAACTTTTACTTTATACGGGACTGTTGATACCGGTATTTATGCGTCAACAACTTGTACTCAGCAGGTTGCTGCGTTTTAAAAATAATTCATTCTTAGAACATGTTCTAACGTTTCGAATC